ATCACAGTTTTTTAGAAGTAATCTAAATTACAATGTAATCCAAATACTTATAAATGTATTCATTGAGCACTATAAAATTGGTTTAATTAATTTTTATTTATTTTAAAAATATTCTAAAAAATAAAATAAAATATTTTGAGATGTTTGGAAGAAAAACATTGTTGTCTATGATTTAGACAAAGTTGTCTACATAATGCACAGTAGTAGATACAAAGCTAATTTATCGATGCAACGCTTGTGTCAAAACTTCATTTATTTCAAATTAAGTAAGTGTGTGTGTGTGTGTGTGTTTTTTTTTTTTTTTTTTTTTTTTTCTTTGAATGTTACAAAGAACTATAATAATATCAATCTAGAAATATTGCTAATATGATTGATGCACCAATAAAGATATAATTGACTCCTAAACAAGTTTTAAATAGATTTAATTGCGACCCTGGATTTTCAAGAAGCACGAATCAAGCTTTCAAAAAATTGTGATTAATGAGACAACAATTCTATAGGTTGCGTGGGGTATAAATTAAGATTATGTTGGTGTGGTATTGCAATCAAAATCAAATGTATGTTTCTATAAAATTAAAATAATAAATTAATTTTCTTATGTAAATGTATATGTTAAAATCTCAAGGTTAAATTTTTAGATGTGATTATTTATTAATATTTAACAGTTATATTCACAAAATAATTATATTAAACTTTGAATTTCTACTTTTCTAAAAAAAATATTAAAATAACATAAAAAATAAATTACATATATTATTCTATGATTAAAGTTTTGATCTACAAATATAATCTATATTTTATAAAAATTATATATATATATACATTCATGTGTGTGTGTAAAAACCAATGATTAAGTTCAAAATTGATGTATATAAGTTAGATTTGTTATTATGTATGTTAAATCTATTCTCTTAAAATTTATATTTATTTAATTAAAAGAAATCTTAAAATTATATTGTAATTAATAATTTAATTTATTAAATTCTAAGAGAAAAACAAAGATTAAATTAAAATAATAAAAAGTGATTAATTTTAACAAAATTAGAATTACATACTTAATGTATACATGATTATTATCATCATTTATTTTATTTTATATTATTAATAATAGAAATAATTTATTTTATTCATGATAATGTAATTAATTTTGATTTTAGTGTGTATGAGTGTGTGTATTTGTGTAATTACACATATATGTATGTTTGTATTTAAATTAATTTTTTATCTTTGCTAAAGATAAAATTCTTAGACATCTTTATAAATCTAATTGTTCCAAGGGCAAAAATGGAGAACATACCAAATTGTTATGATGGAAGTAGTAATTGTATTTTACTATAAAATATTGTCAATTAATATGGAAAAGTAACTAATCCATTGCCACACTGCATGAAGACCTTGTCTAAGTTAATCAAAAGAAACAACTAAAAGTAAAAAAAAGTCAAAGACGGCTAAAGCCAAGTTGCGGTACAACAAACTGATTTATGAAGAATGATTAACAAGTCTAGACTAAATTAACGCACCATTGAAGATAGAACAAAACAAAAACCACTATGACGAGGGTGAAATATAAGACAATCAATATAATCATTGTTTACAAAATTTGAGCTAAATCAATTTAAGATTTAGATGGATAAATTTAATTTTCCCTAGTTTTATTAGAAGTTCTTCAGAAGGGCATGTGCATATATATGCACTCAATCCAATCTTATTGTCGACTTGCTCTTCAATCAGGTATTTTACAACTCGTTAATTGTAAAGGGAAGACCTGCAGCTCACATTTCTGCGCCTGAACGTCGAAGTACCAGAACTAAGCAGCTGCTTTGTGGTTACTGACAACTTTCTCATAGACTGCAGTGATTTCGCCAATGACATCGGCATGACAACAACCTCCGAAGAATGTTCAACCTGAGTACATGAACGGTAAGGATATTTAAAAGCCTGAAAAGCTGTCACGAAATACCAGTCAAGGTTTCGAGAACATTTGGGGTGATGCGCTAAGAACTGCGTCGCACCATTTTGCATTACAAAAAGAAAACTAGTTAATTCACTCTGTTACAAAATCTGGAAAGCTAAGACATCGAGAGGCTCAAAACAATGAAGGCACCTTGCTCTCCACAAACAGCTCGACAACGCCATGTGGCAGAAGACCTACAAGTGCGCCAGTCAGAGGTACAGCTCAGAGATGTAAAAGTCAGTCAGTTATGGGGAGAAGCGTGTTAACCTGGGTACAATTGGTGTGATGTCGTGATGATTTACCATCCACCTACTAATCTTCGATTGCCTCGGTTCACGCAAAATGGTTGTCTTGCCTGGGAAACGCCACAGCCCAAGACCGCAGCAGTTGTTTGTACTTCATTGCGTTGGCGTGCGTAGTCGATGATACGCGTTCCAGTTTGCAACGTGAAGAGATGCGTGCTTCCAGAGCTGCCTAAGTAATTAAAATGGATGACAACGGTGCATACGAAGAACCCTAGATGAGAAATATATGGAAGCTAGAGGAACAAAGATGCGAGAATAAGGCCTTAATCTTCACAACCAGCGTCTAGAACTCCTGAAAATCCTAGATGGCAGCAATGGAAAGTGACAAACCTCTCCCAATCGGCCAACTTAGACGATGTGAGGTCAAGTGGCCTATGCACCACCATGACTATAACCCTGGGAACAGATTTGCTAGAGTCGACTGGGATCATTGAGAAAATCCTTACCATTAAGGGTGCGAGGGTAGTGCGATCTAGGTCAGAGGGATTAGTTTTATTTCAAAGAACAGCACCTAAATGAAAGTCTGGCACACGCGTGGCAAGGTCTCGCTGTCGGTTTCGACAGCCACCTGCACGAACACTTTTCATGCAGACATGGCAAGACCAATTCAAGCATGTTATTCGGTTCTAGTGATTTACGGTTGAGGGACGGCGTTATTTTTGTTTGAGATATATGATAAAACCGATTGAAGTTGAGGCCGGCTGAGGGTACTAGTATTAAAATTTTCCATATAAACTTACAGAAAGCATGCCGGATGTCTTGAATAGACCTGTTCTGTTCCGCGGAATGCAACAAGGTGTCTGCGACATTATACAGCACGCCAAACAGACACTGGTCAGAAATGATAATTTAGTGCACAAGGATACAAAACTAATATCGAATGTGTAATTCTGCATCGTAGATGTTTAGAAAGCATAAAAGCACACAGCAAAAATTAAGAAAAATTGAAAAATGAAATTAGCAGCCTACGTTGCCTCAGGTCATCGCTATTGACACGAATTCACAAGTGAAATGAATATGCTGGCCCAAGCATTAACGACCTATTTCAGGTTTAGTGCAGGGGAAACTATCACCTTGCTTTCTCATCTGTGGACATAAGCTTGAAAATATTCTTAAAATCATAGCTAGAATGCTTCAAGTGTACTCCTGGAAAGGACTTGATCACCTTAATCCACGACACATTAACAAGCCCTGAATAATCTGATGCAGGCTTTTCGAAATTTTCTCCAGTTGTTCGGTCAATAGTTGCAAGTCCTGAACTGCAAAACGCAAGGAGAGCATATGCTCAAATGACCGTACAGAAAAAATTCAGCAAAGCAACTTATCATTTTCCTCAATCGAAGTGGTGTGAAGTCTTTCGTTTTTAGATAACGACAAGGTTTTGAATATGCAATGATGGTTGCATGTATGGAACAAGATATCTGTTAATGATTATCAAAAACATGCAACATTCTAAGTGCACCAGCACTAATTTATTAGGTCTTTCGAGTATGGCAACATGAAATCATGAGAACGAAACAGAATACGCAGGACTCAGTTCTTCGCCTTGAGTTGCGTAATGGCTGACTTCATCTTCCAGAAATTTTCTATTTTAATTAGACCATTGTACAATTTGAAGACAATCGAATAAACTCAAGCCATTCGTATAGAATCACCCTCTTCGCACACGTTAACCATTGCGAAGTTTGAAATAATAGATTGTCATGAGAGGAATTTGTTACCTCAGATTGAACAGCACTGCCTCCACCTGTACTCCCTAAAATCAGTTTTAATTCATTCTTCGTACCAGCTCTATCCATTATAACAACAAGCGGGTGGAGAAATATTTGAACCTCGATTCATTCAGACAACACCACATTTAAGTCCTAAGAAAGTCTTCAAAAAGCGAATATCGTGTACTTGAACCCCGACAGGACTAACATGCGAGGAATCCTGAAGACCAATTCCTGTATTTCCTATCCTACAATAAATGCTGATAACGTTGGCATCCCGTGCTGCGACCTTCAGACAAAGCGCAAGCGTTTAGAACAACGGCATCAGGTTGTTAGCGTCAATATAAATATCAAAGTTGGACATGTCTCGATAGTCCAAACAACAAACAAAAGACATGATTAAAACAAATCTACTAATACAAACTTGCAAATTTGTCAACCGTGAACACAACCAATTTTCCTCTTTTCAACTGTTCTGCAACCTCGCAAAATTCTCAGCCAAGTTAAAAATAAGTGGGGTAAAATTGGTTGACTTCACGATTGACGAACTTGCAATTTCACAATTTCACAAAAACCTGCCAGCAGTAAACTGCACGTAGAAATCGCCTTCGCAACGCGTCACAGATAATTACTGTAGAATTTCTTTGAGAAATCAGCTCTCTGAAAATCCAAGCCTCTGTTAGTGACTTGCCAAACATTGAAGTCTGAACCTAGAAGTTGGTACAGTAAGTCGACAATCCTAGTTGGATATAGATGAAGCGTGAGATTCTTAAGTATCGACAGGTCGAGCTCCGTCTCATACACAGCTAAGATGGTTTCGCAATCATCTGCATCCATTTTTTGCACTCATTCTCCTCCAAAAAAATATTTCTAGCGACTTTGAAAGCAGAAAATTATAACAGATAATTACTACTTCCATTTCAGCAATGCCGTTAGGCACAATAATCAACTGGAAAAAAGCTTCCAAGTAAATTTAGTCTCAAACAATTAGGGGCTATGTGCAAATTAAAAACAAAGTATACTGGCGGTCTAATCAACACAAAGCGCGGGAATTGTAGGCCTCAAATTTGGACTCAGCGTGGACGACAGCGAGGTCAAGATTGAAAGAAATAAGCTCTCCGTTGCCGAAATTGTTTGCCTTCCCGTCGTTGCAGTTCCCGGTGTAACCCCATTTTTAGTTCGCAACAGCACCTTACAACTCCGATTACGCTCATAGCTACACCCAGACTTCCCTCACAACCTGTACGAGCTGTGTTAGGGGATTAGAGCAGCAGGACGTCTATTAAACTATCTTTTGATCCCTCGGAAACTAAACACTCAGCGCGAACCTCTTCCACCATGATAACTCAAGATTCTAACGAACAATACGTATCGAACAGGAACAAAACCTCAAGCAAGACAGAATCAAGAGACCTACATAACAAACGCGACCTACATCAATGCAAATGAATATTTCATGGCGTAACACTGAAGAAGACAAGCGACAGCGGCTGCGACGCGCATCTAACGTTTCATCGAGGCGCATACGGAAAAGTTAACAACTATGTTAGTGGACAGGACCTGGCATGCAACACAGAATTTAATAATCTAACGCTGTAAGCTTCAGAAGTCTACTTTTGAAGGAGTAATGTGAAATCCCCTGGAATTCATGCCCTCGCATCACCTATCTAATTTAACGAGAAAAGCGTCAGTGTAAGCGATCACGACTTTAACGAAGTTGCTACCATCTCAGCGCAACAATTCGGCAACATTTGTTGCAGTCCACGGCATTGAACTATGAAGTGAAGGAATATAAAATCCAATATTAACGTGACATTTTCTTAGGACAATTTCGAACCATGGAATCTGAGAGCAAGCACAAAGCTTCCAGAGGAGGTCTTGACATAGATATACCATAACCAGAGGTTCAAAGGAGTAATTAAGAAGCGATGTTCCTTAAATTGTTTCAGAGTGGATGGCACAAATCGATGACAGCACGCAGTTCTATTCTCACCAGCCAGAGTTACCGTCCGAGAGCCGACGTAGCGTCTCAATGAGCCAGAAATCTACTTTCGACGTCTATTATTTTGATATCGCCACAATCATGGCGATAAGAGCACTAATGCTGGTTGTTGGTGGCTGTAATCTACACATCCCTCTTGGAGGGATATAAATGAAATCGAATGTAGTGGATTACTACCTTAACAGAGAAAACTGAATAGTTCAACGTAAAGACGACACCTCGGAGATTTTTCTTCAGAGCATGTCACGAAAGGAGTGGATGGTGGCGGTGATGCTACAAGTGATGTTTTAACTATCCCGGTCCTCGGAAGAAGGGTCGACTGGAACTTCCAGAGGTACTAATTCCTGGTTTTCAATGGCAGATTGGGGCATTTCTTGAAGATTGAGGAGAACTTGCAACATGCTGGGCCGTGAGCCTGGCAAATGGGAAGTACATAGAATGGCAACTTTCATAATATGCAAAATCTGGTTGAGTTGAGATTCGTCCGCAGACTGAAATAGGCTCACGTCAATCGCCGATTGATCTCGCAAGTCCTGAACCCAAGCGGGTAGGGTCACCCCTACTCTTACTTCCTCAATTGTGGGCCTCTTCCCAGTGATAATTTCCAAGATTAGCACTCCATAGCTGTAGACGTCACCTGCCGTGGTGAGTTCGCTAGAGACTCCATGTTCTGTCCCAAAAACAATCGAGAGTCAGAAGTGAGGCATGCCTGAAGACAAAAAAAAGGTTCTACAAGAATAATCAAGGGCAAATATAATTAAGACAACGGTTCATGCCACTCATCTTATACTGTCAGCAATTAACTAACATGCTTGACAAACTCTAAATCAGGTGCAGAAAAATCTCTGCCTCTTCACTCTGAGTGAATCCTTGCAAATTTCAAACAGATTTTAGAGAGTGCGTTTGAAAATTCAACTACCGGGGGGAGCATATCCAGAGGAAACGATCCATGAAGCTGCACTGGAGCCTTTAATGCTCCGTTTGATAAGTCTGGCCATTCCGAAGTCTACAAGCTTAGACTCCATGTCAGAGTCAAGAAGCACATTGGCTGCTTTCAAGCCGCAGTGCGCTAAAGCATTCCCACAAGTCTCGTGGTGTAGACAAACCAGGCCTGCAGTGATGCCCATTATAATCCGAAGCCTCTCATTCCATCTACAAGCATGATAGCCACAACCTGGTCAGCTTGATCTCCCCAAGAGTACATACAACACTTGAAAATCCAATTATGACAGCAGTAATCAAATTACAGACATACGCACTGCAACATTGAAGCGGAAGCGGAATACAGCAACTTACTTAAGTTGGCAGTTGTGCTTGCCTGGAGGATGCAGGTGCAAGTCAAGACTCCCATTAGGCATGAATTCCACGAACAGGCCCAGGGTGCTTGAATTCGTGGAGTATCCCATGAGCCTGACAAGTTCCGGTGCCGAATTTTGCTCAAGTTCAGCATCTCTGAGTCAAGCATGAGCCTCTCTTTTTTCCTGACTTTTGCAATAATCCATTGTTTGACAGCAAACACGGTTCCATCTGGCAGCACTGCTTTCTCGATGTTGCTAAAACCTATAGCCCGCCGGATGTTACCACTCAAACTTCGACTAAACGTGCCGCTCACACTTCCACTTGCGTCTGTAAATGCTGTCGCTGCTTGTATCTCTTCGGCTGTCAGCTCCAGAGATTTTAAGTACTCCGAAAATAGCACCACAGTATCTGCCTGCACTGAACCCCGGCGGTAGATGATGTAACGAACAAGGAGCAATGCGAAGAAAATGAGGACGACCCTCTCCACAGCGGCACCGATGATGGTTACCAATGAGGGGCCTTTCTTATGATGACTTCTAACCAATGGACTAACCATGTCACCAGGACATGGCCGCCCCACCAGCCGGCCACACAAACCAGGATTACCGAGAAACGACTCAGCAGAGAGGTTTCTGAAAATCCCAGTGTCCCAAACACGCCCCCTGAGGTTGTTCACAGAAATATTAAGAATCAAGAGAGACCGCATCCCTGCAATACTTTCAGTTATTGGTCCTGTAAGTTTATTCTGTGACAGGTCAAGCTTGGACAAATCATGAAGAGAACCAAGGCTGCCTGGAATCAGTCCCCCGATAACATTGTGCGAGAAATTCAGCACGTGCTTGAGGTTTCGAAGCAAGCTGAGAGTCTCTGGTAAACTTCCACCGAGCTTATTATCAGCAAGATCCAGACTCTGCAGTTTGGAGCAGTTTCCGATGCTTGGCGGAATATTTCCAGTGAAAGAATTTCCGGAAAGGTTGATCCCGACAACATCTCGTAGGTTTCCAAGTTCGAAAGGTATTCGACCCGAAAACTGATTTCGCGACATGTCTAGATGGCTTTGAAGTCGCACCAGGGTTTCCAATCATGGAATCAACAGACCCCGTCAAATTGTTTGAAGAAATGTTCAGAAACATGAGGGAGGTGCAGTTCAACAAAGTGATCGGAAGATCGCCACTGAATCTGTTCCCCCCCAAGTGTAAGTAACGCAGGACAGGAGACCACCCCAACCACATCGGGATTGGCCCAGAGAAATAATTGTCCCCCAAGTTGAGTAAACTCAATCCTCTAAAATTTACAAACATCTCCGGATAAACATCAGTCATGCCACACCCTTGGACATCAAGCTCTTCCATCGTCACGCATGAGGAGAGCCTCGGAGGAAACGACCCTCGGAAGGAGTTTCCGTTGAGAAGCAAAACCCTGAGGCGCTTCAGCGCACCGAGCTCTTCGGGGATGGACCCACGTAACTTATTTCCACCGAGATCCAAAATTTCCAGGTATGGAAGATATACTACCTCCTTCCAACTTGTCAAGTTTCCTTCTAGTTCTCTGTTGGGAAGACTAAGGGAAATGACACGCCCAACATTATCACCCACATGGCCACACGTGACCCCAAACCAGTTACATGAATTTGGGTTATTAGTGTTACTCCATAGCTTGAAAACACTATTTGGATCTGCCGTAACATGTCCCTTGAAGTACAGCAATGCCTGAAGGTCTAGATTTGCAATAGGAGTAGGAACAGGAGCATTCGAAGTTGGCGGCGTGGGTTGGAGGACAGCAGGCAATGGAGATGGCACATTGGATGGAGGAAGTTCTATTGGTGACGGTGGTGACTGTGAGGGTGATAAACTTGGTTGCAAAGGAGACACAAGCTGTGCCCGAGTAGGAGGCTGTAGCGGCGGCTGTGCGGGAGAAGGAAGTTGCGTTGATGCAGGGATTGCTTCTGATGGTGAAGAGTTCAGAAGATATTGCACAAGGAATCTTCTCGAGACCCATTTTGATTTTAGGCTGGGTTGACGTCGAGCATCTGAAATCCAGGCATCCAAACAAAATCGCTACTCTTGCTTCAAGAACTCAGCATGCAATGAGGCTGGAAAATTTCCTATTGTCAAGGGAGACAACTCTGAGGGAGAACTCAAAAGGACTCATTCATCCAGTTATCAGAAAATCTGAGAAACTGCATGGGCTTTTTTGAGCATTTCTAGGGTCCAAAATTAAATGGCAGTCATATGCAACTTGTTAACAAGATACACGGCGAGACAAGAGATGAGTTTTTGATACTAAAATGTTGTCATGTCTACAAATCGTAGTTACAGTAGGAAGTTATTGAAGAGACTCAAAATATAAATATATATACACTACACAAACTTGAACATACATAAATGTGTAATATTAACTCACCTAAATTCGCCGACATCCCTGGTCGTTGGATAGGATTGGTGATTCGACCAGGGTCCTTCGACGATGTATCTATGAATTCCACTTTCACTTCCTGCCCACGTGAATTCATCTCGCCATACACACTTTCTGCAGCATTCGGACTAAAACCACCTTGGCTGGAATAGACTGCGGTTGCTAGCTGGCTGCTGAGAGAGAGAAGATCACAAGTGGACGAATAAGGAAGGAATCTTGAGATAAAAGAAGAAATAAAAATACCACCATGGAAAAAGGATTCAACCATCAGCGAAGCTTTGTGCTGTAATAAGCGATGAATACTACTGGAAAACTTCCTACACGCCGCAGAGGGAGACAGTAAGACACTATGACCTCTTGAATTAGCAAAAAGAACTTAAACGGTACTTTTTTATCATCATCGTCATCGTTCGTTATAATTCTTGCATGGGACGTCATGCGACACCAAAGCACAGAAACCTTTCATCCGCTTGGCTGTTATCTCTAGCTACCCGTAAGTAGGCATGGCTGTTCTGAAAAACAAACATTTTACGAATACAAGTGGACATCGAATGTGCACTCTAATGTTGCGAGAAATCGAGGCACTCGAACGACCACCCTAGTGTATGCAAAATAAAAAAATTGACGGTAAGATGACAATGTAGGGCACTGGATTCGAGCAATACCTGGATGTATACAATCCATAACCAAGGAGGATTAAAGGAACTAGACACAGAAAACTCCATGAACCTGCCATTTACGTCCCACTCTCTTCGAATGCCAGCACCAAGACAAGCTCGGTTTTTATTCGCCCGAGTCTAGATTACCTCATTCAGAGTGCAACTATCCTGAGTGCTCAAATTCCCTGGAAACCTTCCGCTTCCTCCTCCCCCTCATATTGATGACTCTAATCACTAAGCTGTGCGAACTCCTCACTCTTACTCCTTGTTTGTGTATTCATTCCGTTTCATTTTGTGAACATGGACACCATAATAAATGTGAACCCCACAAAGCAGGCTATACCACCTCTCTCCCCTGTCTCCTGCGCCTCGGAACCAGTGGAGAAAACAGAAGGAGAAACCTCAATCAAACTGCAGATGACGTCGAGAAAAGTTGCTACCCAGAACAAGGCCTTCATCGCTTCCTTCAGTGCAGACTTTACACTGTCCAGTCATTCCATCCTGGTAGAAGAATCATCAAAAAAACAAAAAAACATATCTAAACAATGAACTCTCTTTCCGTAAAAACAAATCCGAAGGGAATCATAAACCTCAACAGTCCTCTCAGTCATGAGCATTCACGCAACGACAACAGTCGAAACAGCTCCAAGACTACACTCCATTCCTGATCACCATGGAATCCAAACGGGGTGACAACTCACAAGAGAGAAAGAAAAAACAAAAAAAGATTAAGAATTAAAATTTTATAAAAAAAATCCTCACCAGGAACCTACTAAACAGCTGCATGGATACAAAAGCACGAAACACAAAGTCTAGATGTAGAATACGAAACACGTAGCCAGTGTGGGGGGCTCCTTTTATTATTATTATTATTATTATGGGGGGTGATTAATTCCTCTGTATTGGACAGGGTGGGGCCTCTGACATTGGCCGCGAATGGACCTTTGTTTGACTTGGGTGGATAGAATTGCTACTTCTGTGAAGTGTTTGATTTCAGTGGGTGCCTTTTGTACGTGGCAGAAGGGACAAGGACAAGGACAAGGACAAAGAAAGAGAATTTTGTTGTGGGCCTTCTCCCTTTCTTGCTGATAAAATATATCATGGGAAATGTATTCTTGTTTCTCTCCATGGATGACAAACACTTCTGATTAAAACTCCAGGTGTTCGTTTCTCACAAGATTTTGAGTTTTTTTGAAAAAAAAAAATACAGTTCCTAATTCAAAGGAGTTGTCACACTTCTTGTGTGCCTTTGGGGGAGTCATAAATATTGTTTAGCTAATTTGTAAGTTGTTCAGTATTGGTCATTCGCCATATGGACAAGAACCATGTGTTTGCAATGATAAATTGCAAAAACAAAATAAAAATTAAATTTAAAAAAAAATAAATAAATATATATATATATATATATATATATATCGTTGAATCCTACAAAAATGCTAAATGGTGGAGTCAAAGTGGCCCAAATAATTTGTGTGTGTAAATATATATATATATATATATATGTAATTTAAATTACATAGTGGCAGACATAAATTACAAAAATAAATTGTATCACATGCCTTCTAGATTTTTCTAGCATTAAAATAAATTAATATAAATATTACTTCTCCAAAAAAAAATGTTATTAATACTAGGATTTTTTTTAATGATTTACTATGATTGGTATTGTATATGGTTTTTTATGCAATAGACATATTTATATTGTGTTGTAAAAGGTATATGTGGCTTTTTTTAATTTCATATATTTGTATTTTTTACATTTAATTTTTTTCTTTAATTTTTATGGTATTCTTTTTAGCATAGTGATAGTTAGTATTTAATCTGTGAAGAAGAAAACAAGGCACTATTATTAATATTTTTAAATACTTATTAAGTTTTAAACCACTTAAAATTATATATATATATATATATATATATATATATATATAAAAGAAGTATCTTTTGTTTAGTGTATATTGAGCATTGGTGCACTTTTGTGGCATGTAAGTAATTTTTTAAAATAAAACTACTAAAATAGAATTTTTTTCATTATATCATTTTTTACAAAATAACGTAATCATTTCATTTACAATTTGCCAATTATCTTTGACTTTAGTTTAAATTTATATTTTTTTTAAAAAAAAGACAAAAAACAAAACAAAACAATTCATTGCACAGATGGTGTCAAGTACAAAATTTTATATATATCTTTATTTTAGATAACATACATTATTTATTTTTCTATTAAAAATTATAATAAAAATATTATATATTTTAATTTATTTTTTATCAATATTTTTTTTTAATAATAGATATATTTTTAACTTAAAAATATTATATATAAAATAAATAATATTTGATTCTATTTGATAAGTTTAATATTTATAATATCCAAATATCAAAAATTCTACTATCTACTACCTTTTACACTTAGATGTGTATAATATTCTTAACATTGAATATATTATTTAATTTGACTATTTTTTATAATAATTTGGTTTATATCAAGTGTTATATTTGGAACTATATTTTTTTGTTTTTTTTATTTCTTTTATAAAAGTATCATTTATATCCAAATAATTTTAATTATATTCTAATACAACTTATTTAACAACTTTATCAATAATTTTAATAAAATATTTTTTTAGTCTAAAATATTTAATATTTATCTATTTTAACATAAATACCTATATAAGAAATAATAGCACTAAGAGTTTTTTCAATAATATCACAATCTACCTAATTGTCAATGATATAAATCACAAAAAATCAAAACATCAATATATTCTTGTGTCACTTGAAGAGAATAGATATTCACTCAAAGATAGTATAATATTAAAACTATAATGGTTGTTGCCAAAGACAAGAAGACTAGAGCCTCTTGAAACAAAACTAAGAACAAAAAAGCTATTAATAAGAAAAAAGAAGGCTTTGTTCTTACCTCTATACATACTATCTAATTAGATATTATGTGGCAACATTCTATAAGACTTCCAATACATGACTACTTACAAAACATATTTCTAACTTGTAAGACAAGTTTTACATGTGTGCCATATGACAAACTTCTACCAAAAGTAGTCAACATATGCAATACTTAGTTAAGTTTTCAACCTATCAATTACCTATAGATATATATATAATCAAATTTACATCTATCTAGCTTTTGAGAAGTTTTTCCATAAGATATTAACACATTCACTTACTTCTAGTTATTTTTATTGAATTCTTCTAAATCTAAATATATATGTTTGTGACATTATCTTTCTTTTATTTCTAGAGATAAGTTCTATAAGAAGTGGTGATTACATATTAAAGAAATCAAAGATGTAACAACTTGTATATGTTACATATTTTGATCTTTTTTTTCTTTAAAGGTAATTGTTAAGTCTTTTTAGCCATTAATAGTGTTTCATATCAAAACAAAAGATTAATCTGATTTTTAATCATTATTGAGGCCTTCATAACTTTTTTCAAATAAAATATTTGAAATACCATCAGAAGTGGTTTTTATTTTTGGTAATATTATTAAATATTTAAAATCTATTTTAAAGTTATAATATCAAATATATTATATCTCACCATTTATTCAAGTAAGAATATGTTATTTTTGAAGGTCTTTATTTCTATTATATTGTCTTGAAATATATAACAATCTCAATGCTTCATTTGTTAACTCAACAAATAATTACTCTTAAGCTAAAACTTTTAATTGTTGATTCTCCATTTCTTTAGTATCACAAATTTGTATATATATATATATATATATATATATATATATATTTATTTATTTATTTATTCTAATAATTATCTATATGATCAAGTAAAAGTAGATAAAAGTAGATTAATTTCATAATAACTTCTTGAAAAAGCCTCTTAAAAACTTCATAGGGACTGCTTTGACTTTACACATATTTGTAGTTAATTGATGGATTAGAAACTTGGTCAACAAGTTAGCCACATGTCACACGTATTGATAGCTTGTGGAACAAGCTAACTATGTGGCACACAAATAGAAAACTTGCCTTGTAAGCTAAGACATGTATCTAGCAAAGTCAACATATGTTGGAGGTTCTATAGAATATTACTACATAGTGCATAGTTAAATAATATATATGGAAGCAAGAGTGAAACCTTCTTCACTCTTATCAATGCCTTTTCAATCCTTAATATTATTTTAAGATTTTTTAGTTTTATTGTCTTTGACAATAGCTATTCTGATTTAATATTATATCATCTTTGCCTGATTATCTAGTCTTTTTGAGTAACAGAAGAATATCTTAAACTTTTAGTTCTTCAAGATTCATGTCCTTAACATTTAATATGATAAATACATAAAAACTATAAACAAAAATAAAAGATAGAATGCAATCTTCATTAATCTTTGTTTCATTTATAACAAAAAAATACTTAATTCTTCATCTTGATTTTGATAGATATTGTTAATTAAAAGCATAAATATTCTTTATTGTATTTGTAAGATTTTTGGCTAACTTCCATATGCATGCACTAATACTATGTTTGCATTAATATACAAGATATTCCAACTCATTTTGGCACTACCTTAAATCTAAGACTTCTTTAGCTTCAAATTTTTAATTATTGTCCACTTTTGTAAGAGGAAGTGACATTTGTCTTCTACTTGGTACATCCACTATCTTGTATTACTCAAGAAGAAACACATGGAATACAATATAGATCTTTATAAATTTCAATAGATGTAATTAATAAATAATTATATTGATTTATTTAAAAATCAAAAATAATCCAAATCTATGGTAATCTAACTTGTTATAAGGGAAAATTGTCTTAATATTATAACAAAGTAATTATACCTTATTACTAATCTAGAATTAAAATTATTTATTGCAACAAGTATTTACATTGATCTTTTATTATTGTTAAGTTTTTTTTAATTATAGCTTTCATAAAAAAATTAACAAATCTTTTACTATAGGAATTTTAGCTTATAAAAAGTCAAAAATATCAAGTTGTGGATAATAACCGTAATTGATATAAAAAGATGTTTATTGAGTAGAAAAATGTATGGTATTATTAAAAGCCAACTTTGCCAATGGTATGAGAATTATCCAAATATCTTCATAATAGTTGATGGTATATTTCAAATATTTTTCTACGATTTGATTTGTCTATTTAGTTTGTTTATCAATTTAAAGATAAAAAGTAAAAGATATTTTTATTTCTACCTTCAATATCTTAAGAAGAGTTCTTTAAAACCTTAATACAAATTGAATTCTTCTATCTAATATAATATCTTTTAACAATCTATAATAGCAATAAATATTATCAAAGAAAAATTTACCTATTTTTTTTTACCTATAATAGTTTTTGTATATAGTACAAAATATGTCATTTTAGTGAAATAATTTATTATAATAAATATAGAACCTTATAAACTTGTGATTGAAAGATCCATAATAAAATCTACAAAAAGAAAAAATCATGGCTGCTATGATATAGGTAGTAATTGAAGAAGTCTATAAGATTAATGATTAGGAGTTTTTTTTATCTATAATAAATATTATATAATTTTTTAAAATATTTAATCATCTTCTACATTTGAAGTAATAAAAAATCTCTTAGTATTAGCCTCAAAGTCTTATTGTATCTAAAATATCTTGTAGCAAAAAATTTATAATAAGATTAAAGAGCATGTAGTTGTACTTTACCTTCTGGAACATATAAGCATCTATAAGAATGAAAAAGATTATTCTTAAATTCAAACTTAAAAGTATCATGAGATTAAAAAATATTATTTTTAATATCATAAATAAGAAGATTTGAGAATATACTTAATTGAACATACTTTAAAAAAATTAAATCAATAATTAATGTTGATTTTATAATTCAAAGATGAAATTGCATTGGACTTAAAATGAATGTTCATTGTTGATCAAAAGCTATACTTATTCTTTTGGAGCAAGATAAAAACATCTAAAAAGAGTCTCATAAATCTTATTATTTTGTAATCATTAAGTGATCTTGAATTTAAATATTGACAAAGACATACTCAAACAGTCTTAAAGACAATTCAAAACATGTGTTGACATAAAATACCAGAGTTTGTTATGATTTGTATAAATAGTCACTAGACTAGAAGTGCCTTCTAAATATAAATGTTTTACTTGCAATGAATCCACAATTACAAGAAGCACTTTGTTATAGATCTTATAATTGATTTTGACTACTGAAAAAATTCTTGAATGAAAAGCTATTAAGTAAAATTTGTCATTTGTTCCCATTTCTTATAATATTTCATACAAGGAAAATTCCAATATGATTATTTTTATAAAAAAATACTTCAAAAAAATCAATGTAATATAAGATTGTGGATATAATAAAAATTATTTTTAAAGCTTCAAATATTGAATCAATTTCTCTATTTAATTCAAATTTTTCTTTGTAAATCAAATAAATAAGTAGAGTTATAATTTTTTTTATATCTTAATAAAAATTCAGTAATAATTTTAAAAAATTTTAAAATATTAAATATCTCTTATTGCTCTTAAATTTTTTTAATCCATAATAGTTTTAACTTTCTTAAAATTGATTATGAGGCCATTATTTGAAATGGTGTACCTTAAAAAAATCAACTTGGATTATGTAATATACATACTTTTTTATCTTGGCATATAATTTTATATCTCTAAGTTTTTGTAACATACAACAAGTTTTGAAAATAGAACTTTAATATGTTCAAAGTAGATTATAATAAATACTACAAACTATTATAAGAGCTACAAATTAATAATAAGAATTTCTTACATCTAAATACCGATTATATAAGCAAAACCAATTGCAAAAGACCTTAAAATAACCTAAAGCTAAGAATTGAAGTAATACTCATGTACTTAACTTCTTTTAGATTTTTAATGCTATTTTTATTTTCAAAAAAACCTTTATATATAATTATGAATTGAATTGTTTGCATCATAAAAAAAAATTAAAAAACTATTGTAGTAAGCCAATTTAATCCTATAATAGTATGAAGTATTATAATATTCTAATAATGATAATATATATATATATATATATATATATATATATATATAATAAGAAAATAATTTCACTTATTTCAAAAAACTCATATTATGCATAATCACTATGAAACTTCAAAATTCCTAATAAAATGTCTTAAGATTAGATATTAGGTAAATTATTACCTTATTCATTTTTTTATTTCGTTTTTTTTTTTGTAACTAAAAGTTAATCCACTTCTTGTATTTTTTAATTATACTTTTTATTAGTGTGTGTAAATTTGCATCAGTAATAAAATTTTCTCAATATTAAAAAAAGAGAATCGACTATAAGTAATAATATTGAATCTTTAAGTCAAAAGAAATGTCTTTTGAATAATAAAATTTTAATTAACTCTGATGCAAATACAATCTACCTATGTGTCATTAACATAGTTACAAAAATTATATAAAAACCGTAGAGTAGTTAAGATGCTTCATTACTATCAAATTAATGGTGTCTATTTTAACATCTTATTCTTAGTTTCTACAAAAATATTTATAAATATTATAAAAAATATTCTAGAAAAAAATTGCACAGCATAATAGAAAGTATCAAAATTAATAGTCAAGTGAAAAAAATGGGCCTTTGAAATTGAAATAATATAAATATTATATTCTGTATTTGAAAAATAAAATTGATTTTTAAAATGTAGTAATAGCAGCTAAAAAGAATTGTACCTTTATCCACAATTTCAACCTTCTCTTTCTATGGCAATATAATTTAAACTACTATTAATATGATAGCTATCAATTCCAATATTAGCAATACATAGTATAATTTTGTACAAATGCTGCAAAATTAATGAAAAGGAAATTGGTTGAAAATATAATAATATGATTTTAGCATGAAGTATTAAATTTTATTTAAAAAGACATAAAATTTCAACATTTATACCTTGCGAACAGTTGGCGACAATAGATCACCCTCACAACAAAGAAGGACATGTAGCAATTGTCAATTATTAATTTGCTACTATAATGGTCTACAGGTACAATCACATGTTTGATAAAAGTCTTTTGATCCAAAACCATCAAAAGATGCTAAAATATCCAATCAGGTATTGACTTCAATATAGTTGCGATAGGGACCGTGGAGTGGCCCTCGTATAGAGCTTGTTAATTTTGTTTGAGCAATATCAGGCGAAGTATGAGAAATTTGTAATCAATGAGTTCCGTCAAAGTATATCATCAAGGTGGAAACCATAGTCTGCAGATAAGAAACAGTTACGAATTGGGAGAAAATGACGCACTAAAATCAAGTGGTCGTTGGCTGCATTGGATCGTGGCGTCGAATATACGCAAATGGGGAGCTTTCCATCATCAAGACCAGCTTCCAAAACCTCGCAAAACCATGTATTCTGCAAGCGAGACGAAGACAGAAAGATGCGGCGCACTAAGATGTAACGCATCCACTAGCGATAACATTTCTGGAAGGTAATAAAACTAAACTAAGTTTATTTAAGTTTAAAGTTAAACGACGACGAAGAAGAAGAAGAAGAAGAAAGAAAGAAAGAAAGAAGCATCTACTTAATAAAATGATTTACAAGCCTTATGTGCAGTTGGCAACACTGAGGAGTAGCCGCAAGTATCAAAAAAGAGGCACGTCTCTCCTAACTCTGCTAGGCCTTGATCATCCTGTTCTAACTTTGATATATATTGGGCGTTGGCCAAGATTCCCAATAGTACAGGTCAAAAATGAGGTGCGCCAAAGCATTCCTTCATGGTCCCTTCAGCTTTTCTGCAAAAACGAAACCCAATCAGCACAGAACACAAAGGCTCAGATGATACCATACGTATTTTCGAAGTAGCATGAAACCTCAACAATTTTCTCCACTTACTTGGATAGGTAAGAAAAATTTAAATTCTGGGGGAAGCTCTTCTTCAGTATACAACCGATCAGCAAAGTAAATCCGTCGGGCACGGCAATTGGCATGCACTTGCACTCGCAAAGTCTCCACGTAATAAGTACCGTACGCCCTTCTTGTACAGTCTGAAAGATTTAATTGGATATGATTCCAACCCTCATCCAGCCTCATGGACATAGTGCAGATATAGGGCTTCACTCGTGTAATTGACTGCATCCACATAAACCACTGTCATACATTCAATCTGGAATGAAGAGGTCTAGCCACGTTGACAACTTCGATCTGCAAGTGTTCTTTATTGGGATACACCACGTGAAATGAAGTTTGTTAAGCTAGTTATTGGATAAGTCGTTGGATAAACTGAACGGAAAAGAAAAAAAAGTAAAACAAAAACATAAACACACACATACACACACATATTATGCCTCAGACTAAGCATTACAATGTAGATGGCTATATTGGATCGAGTTGACCTAGTTCCTGACAGTATGAGAACTACAAAGCACCTCCTAAGGAACAACGAAAACCACGACAAGTCTACTTTCAAATAAACAAATCTTTGAACTAATCTGATAATTTGACACACGAAATCGACGGCGAACATTTTTGTCATCAAGCACCTGCACTTCAAAACTGAAGTACATATTCTTGATTATCCTCACCAAAATAGGTAACTTGAGCCCAAGTGTCAACCGGGGATCAGCTGGGCAACTGATGTAGTTACTACTCACATTTGTGCCCACAATCTCCACCACACTTGACTGAAGATACTCATCAGCAACCCTTCTAATATGGCCACTTCGAGCTGCACAGGTAAACAAAGTGAGTATCACCTGAAGTGCATCCCAACCCAACGTCAGCCATGTTCTGATGTTCTAGAATGTACGAGCAGGCCGCGTAGATCTTACTCGACCAATATTAATAATTTCGCTTGACACCAACCTTAAGCAATGTTAAAAAATTATTAAATCGTTAAAGGAAACAAATTAGATTGAGATTTAGAGACTCACATTCCTTGTCCCAAATCTGCAATGGCTTACTCCTGATCACACATCAGCCACGCAAGCCAGCGTTAATTACAACTCTAAGAACATATCATAGAACATATTACAGGATTTAAGTTCTGTGAATAATAAGTGCAACCGACCATACGCATCAATATGAACGCAGGGATGTTGAATGTGCAACATGAATACCAATGAGATCATAAGCAGTACCATTAAATCAATATGAAAATGGAATAAATTCAGTAAGTATTTTGGATTCGACGTCCAAAACAAAGTATGTTAACACATAAACTCACCCAAGGCTATAAAAAATGGACAGGAACCCCGACTGAAATGTGTTCTTGAACATATTGCGACTCAGTAGAGTCGATTAGATTCCGCCTCAAATCGCCTCTGAAACAATCTTTGGTTGTACTCGGGTCTAGCAGTCTGATCAATAGAAAATAAAAATACTGATCAGTGGTGCACCTAAAGCTTCTAACAATGATGATCATCAGTATATGCCAAGATTACAAACGCAACCAAGGTTTGTAATCCATTTGACTCCTTACTGAAATACTCTATATCTAATCATGGTTACTGAGTGACTCATTACATCCATACATATGGAAAGAAGAACAATGCATACAGCACTGGTCCTCATTGCCAACACCGACTAACGCGCTAATCGACACAAGATGAGGGATTCTGAATTGTCTTCAGACCATGCAAACCACACTAGCCTCTGTTCGATATCCAAAATCTTTCTGCTACCTAAGTCTCACGACATTCTGTGCTTGATTATGCAGTGAGTTTTGATATAAGTAAATTGGGATTTAATGATTCTGAATTGCATTAGGACTGGTGAGACTTTGAAGTTATCTTTAACAAAAAGGAACGGTATAAAACCATTTAAGTTAGAGGGATTTTAGGGCACATTTGACACAAGGCTCGCGTCAAGGGTTAAATCTCAATCACAGAGCCTGATGATAGACCTAAGAGATCTCAAACCTACCTGTGACAAATGTTTGAATAACTGCAAATTGGAAATGCATCAATTTGAGATAGTACGTATAGGATTTCCATGCTAACGCTGAAGAGCGCAAGTACAAGCAAGGTCACAAAACCTGCATAAGAAAGTGCGATCTCTAACCTGAACGAACTAAAATAAGGTACGCGATGAACACGATAACACAGTGATTGAGGAATAAAACGTTTGACATCAAACTCTTAAGCTGCACAATAAGAGTGACATATGTGTATATACGCCGTTCGCTTGTCAAGGCCAGAACTAGGTACTCAAAATAAGACGCTTCACAACCCCTACACGAGAAGATACGTCTGCCGATAAGAGACGCTGAGCTTCAAATGTACTCAAAAGTAATAAGGTAATCCAATACTAAAGCTTCCTGGACTAATTTGAAAATAGCATGTTCTCCATGGAACAACATTAAACTTGATTCAGCCCAAGCCAGAACGTCAACAACCCGAACGCAGCTTTTGTTGACAAACATGCAGAGGAGGGCAACAACCTAATCAATCAACGATCGCACGCAACAGAGCCAGATGACGATAACTACTAACCCGAAACCTCGACGAAGCATTGAACACACGGACTGAATCACATCGCGAACGATCAATCAGATTAAAATGGTGAAGGAACCGTACCAAGTCTTTAAGCAACAAGACCGCGAAGACAAAGAGGGAGACGAACAGAATTTCAAACTCCGCCACGCGCACCAGGTGGATTACCGATCCAACCGCCCTGGTAAACAAAGACGGCGATTCCGCAGCCGGCTGCCGCCTATGCATTGGGCCTCCTCTCGTGAGACGACGCCTGAGCTCTACTCGTTCCCCGGAGTCACTCTCCCCTCCACCACCACTACTACTACTCTCCTCTTCCCTCTCCCTCTCCCTCAATCTCAAACCATTATGCTCTGTTTCTCCGCCTCTCAAGCTCCCTGACCTCTCCCTGACATACATAGAAGCAAAACAATCGACGGCACCGCAGCAGACACAAATTGCACGGCGCAGGCACCGATCACTTCAAGCTCCGACTCGCCCCCTTCCTGCTGTTCAAAACCTCGACAACGACAAAGCTTTCAACTGGGAGGCAGTGTCGACACCGAGCGTGAGATACCGTCCAACGGTCGCCACGCTCATGTCCAGAGGTAGCGGACATCTGCACGATAGGGTATGGTGGGAGTATCCAACGGTAGAACGTGGTACGACCCGTATCTTGCAATCGGGTCGCAACCGTCCAGTGGTCGAACCGTGGTACGCACGTCTTTCCCACGTTCACTACGAGGGGGTAGCCCCGAAACAACGGTTGGTGGCATTGTACAATTCCGTTCCCCTTCGACGAACGAACAGAGATTGTGTACATTCATCATCCTTCACTCGACAAACAGAGTTTGTGTACATTCATCCCTCTCCCGTCCTTCATACCCAAGGTATGGTATTTGCAATATACATGAAATTTAAAATTATTAAACTGATTATTTATATTATTTTTTTGGAAAGAGTGCAGTGATGCAAACATAAATTGATTACAATTAGTTGTGTTTGGTATTTATATTTGATAGGTCTAATCAATAAAAAAAAGTAGGTAAGAAAAATAATATTGTCTTGATGTGTTTACTAATGGTGTTATGGTAATTTTATAAATATGAATTAATCCAAACTTTGATTTTTATTTTGCATGCATATGTTGGAAGGAATGACAACTCGGAATTCCAATGGAGACAACGTTCAACTTATTAGAACAATAGTTATGTGAAACAACTAATTTACCAATATTTTGACAAATTACAACATACTTGTATAATTGTATATTGATATATATATATATATTTATGTCTAAATAAAGATGAAATACTGTCAAGAAATGAGAAAATTTAAATAATTCATTTATTAAAAAGAAAAAAAATACTTTTGCTACATTTTATTCAGCCAAATTGTAGGTAATCAAAATTCTTTGACAGGTAGAGTATGTGTTTATTACACAAACAATAGTTATGCACAATCCTCAGTCATGTATTTAGGAATCTTTTCCAATCCAATTATTTATAGTTCTTGTGTATTTTATTCATATCATTGTACATCACATTGATCATCAGTTTTGCAAAAAAAAAAAAAAAAAAAAAAAAAAAAATCATTAATTAGTTTTAAAACTGTTTCTGTGAACTTCTTCTCCTAAATCGCCACATTCTTTTCTAATCACATGTCTTTCAACATATCTTTGATTAAATTATATTAAGGAACATAACACATGTGTTAAAATTTAAAGTAATACAACACAGCACTAAATATTATATCATATTGTATAATGATTTGTGGTTTATTGTGTAAACAAGCATGAATTTATTTAAGCACATAAAACATGGTTGTGAGAAATATATAAAAGATCACAAACTTCACTTGTGGATTGCCAACGATCTTTGAAGGTTTTGACATTTATCTGTGTGTGCATGTGTGTGTGCATGGTTATGAGAAATATACATATATACATACAATGATAAAATTAATATTATGCATTAAAATTTCACAAATATTTTAAAAAATTAAACAATAAGGTTGACAGGTTTTGGTTATAGAAACTTGTTAGATCTCCAAAATCAAGTAAATTATACTATGAAGTTTCAAATGTATTTTCTCTCAAATATAACCATAAATATTGCGTTTTAATACTCATTATTGCATAGAATCATAATCACATTTTAATGTTGTGATTAACTTTCTTAAACAAATATCAGAACTGATTTTCATTATAAAACAACTTAAGACAATTCAAAAAAAGTAAGTTTTAGATCAAATATGGTTTTAGTGATTTTTTAATATGAATCCTTAGAAAAATAACAATAAAAATAAAAAATGAAGTTATACAAGAACACATACACTCTTTAATTTATTTATTTTTAAATTAACATTTGTATTATTTTCCAACTTTTTTTTACATTTTATTGTTTGAATATTTGTTCTACATTTTTTTGTGCTTAAATATTTTTGATATCATCAATACTAGAATATACACAATAGCAGTATATTTAATATTTTTATTTTTAAGTATTTTATCTTTAATAAATCCTAGTTTATTATATAAAAATATTTCTGAATTTCAAAAAAGATAAACTAAAATATTAAAAAATAATGCTTGGTTCTCATTTATATTTTTTTGATTGTTTGTTTTTCTTTTTCTTATTCTTGTTATAAGTAAAATTTAAAGCCAAGATTTCAGATTCATTATCCAAAGCACAAAAATATTTTCTATCTATTGTATAGACTAATAATTCTTCTATATATATATATATATATATATATATATATATATATAAATATATACATTGTATTAAAAAAATATAACTAATAATACTAAAGAGATTATATCTATGTTTAAAGGATTTATCTAAAAGTTATTATATGGTTTATCCTATCAAGAAGATTATTCGTATTTGCAACAAATATTATCAAAAAATACATTTAAATAAGTATACATTCTACTATTTTTGTTGTTACAATATTTTTTATCTTTTTCTAAATATATTTTAGATCCTTATATTCTATTTAATTCTAAAGCATGTAATGTTTTAATTCTAACTATTTAGAATTTATTTTTTATTATTTTATTTCTTTTATATTATTTTCAATTACTTCTTTTCATTGCATGATTGCATTTTACAATTTCAACTCTTTAATTTCGTATAAGTAGGTCCTTAATGATGCTGAATGGCATGCTCTTATTTTTTCAAAAATACTATAAATAAGATGCTATAAAAATTAGAGCTAAAAAAGACTTAAATATTTAATACTAGAAAATATAAAAAGATCAATAAGAATTAAAAAATAAAATATAAATACTTTTTTATAATAATGTGTTATATCAAATATTTATTTGAAATTTCATTGAATTATTTTTGTATTAAAAATAAAGATTTTAAGGATGAATATATTTATTACATTGAATGACATAGGATATTCTTGTTATTTTAATTAAAAATATTTTAAAAATAAAAAAAAAAAGGATCTTGAAATTTCATACTTTAAATATTTTTAATATTTGTTTTGGTTTAATACTTAGTTGACTAATTATCAAGGAACAAAGAATATTAAAATACTATCTAAACAATAAAACACTATTAATTATATCATTTAAATACAAAATATTACATATATATTTATTCTTTTCAAAGAAAGTTTTGACAACAATTTCCATGCTATCTCCACGCTTTTGGTAACTTATATCAAAGAAATAAAACACATCACAATTTTAAGTATCATTTGTTCTTATAAAAAATATTTGGATCTTTTGTAAATCTTCTGAAAAATTATAGATATTTCTAAATAAATACATATATTTTTTTTAATAATTTTTTATTTTTTTTTAATAAGATTAATGGATATTTTATAATATTTTAGTACGTGACATTGCCTTGCATAGTCAATTGGGACCTTTACAAGTCTTCTAGAAGTTTTTGCAAAAGATTCTTTAAACTTCTAGAATGTCTCCTTGATCTTAGAATTTTACAAGAAGGTATTTGTAAGCCCTACTTGCTATTGTATAAAGACATAGGTATAATCAAAAATAACTTAGTCTTTGTGATACAATATTTTTTTTAAATCCAATTGTTTTCTTTATTTTATACATGTATCTAATTTTTTTCTCTAATATCTTATTTCTCTTGAGTTTATTAATCTTTTTTATTCTTGTACTTCACAACTTAAAATATCATAAATAATATTAATAATTATATAAATTATAAACACATCAATTAGGCTTTTAGGTCGATAGTCATTCTTGCATAAAATATAATTTTTTAAATTTTGATTACTAATAACAATTTCTGTTTTTGATAATTGATGCAAGTGAAAAATTAAATGTAGTATAATTGTAGAATCCAGTTTTTTATTTTATATATTTTATAGTTTAAAGAAATTAAATGTGATATTTTTAGATACATTAATATATAAGAAGCCTTAAAGAAGAAATATATATATATATATATATATATATATACATATACATATTCACACACATATAAAATCAGTCTTTATTATAGTTAACCTTGTTAAAGTTAACTTTGAGTTATAATTAATCCACTTTGCTTACTCGATTATCTACCAACACTATATTACACTATGTAATCAACTACACTTTATGATCAACAACTTCTTTGGTTCCAAGAGGTTGATTATAACAAGAGTTGACTATATATATATAAGTTAAATTTTTCTACAAGTTTATAAAATTTATAACCTATATTTCTACAGAGTATTAATTGTCAAGAAGATAAAATTTATAGAAATATAAGTTATGAATCTATAGTGTATCTTATTTAAAATATATATAGATATATATATATGTAACTATTAATATTAGATATCTTACCAATATACTTATCAAAAACACATATTTCTAATATTATATTATGTGAAAAAAAATTAGAAGTTGTTATCTAAATAAATAAAAAAAAAAAAAAAAAAATGTAGATTTGTGAAGTCAAATAGAGTAATTCTTTTTGTTCTTTTGAATTAAAATATGCACTAAATTTATAATAAAATAATCCAAAACAAATATGACATTATAAGCTACTTCTCTAAAAAATACCAAAAACCTCTAGCACAATTAAGAGTTTATGATTTTTTATATCCCTTAAAAATTTAAGTTATTATTATTTTTTACAAATTTAAGTGTATTTTTAGCTTTGAAAATTTTATGCTGTATTTGAACTTGAAGTGCTTTTATCAACTTCTATTATATTTTTCTTAATTCTTTTTTGCTTCTTAAAAAAATCATGTAATATAATGCATAAAATATCTATTATTAAAAATTGTGTACATGTATTTATGTTTATGTTTATATACTTTAATATTTACAGTGAAAAAAATCAATTTTAAAAACTACTATAAATGTAAAATTAATTTATATTGCTTATAATTATGATTAGTTTCAGAAATAATACCACCTATTTAAGGACTTTCTACTAGCATAGAATTTAAAAATCAATTTGTATGCTTACCATAACAAAACCAAATTTGGATGAGACCTCAATCTTTCTGTAAATAGTTTTAGTCATAACAAAACATTTCA